TATTTTAATGAATCAAAAAGTAAAAATCCGAAAATCATGTTTCCATAGCATTTGTCTATTTTGACTATATATGTCTCCATTGTCACGCATTTACAAAATAGACACTCAAAAAATATGCATGTATTAATTATTGTATATTTACTGCAATATCTCACCTTAGACGCGGACCATTAGATTATTGAGAGGGGGGGGGGGGGGGGGATAAATCCCAATAAAATATAGAGCAAGCACTTCATCAATGAACAAAATATCGCGCAACCTCTCCTTCCAGAAAAAAAAATCGAGCAATCCGTCACAATCACACGCGTGCAGGGTTTGTTACAAAAATAAAGTATCGTACAACATATAAATTCGTGCAACCCCCACTACCCCTCAATTGTCTAATTGTCGATCCCTTTGCGTACTACTTTTACAAGTTTCTCTACCCTTTTTCAAAAGAAAACAATTTAATAGTCGCGCGCTCACAAATTGCATGTAGTGCGTAGTTAACATTCATGTGCACAATTATCGTTTTAGTTTGGCCAATTAGCGTTCACACTTACATACGAGTTACTTCACAGCGATCCGAGACCACCTCTCGAGGTGGTCTAGTTTAGATCGATTTCGGACCGATCGTGGTCCGTGTTGGACCGTTTTCACCTCCCTCCGCAAAACCCAGCAATTCGAAATGTGAGCTCCTCTTAAAAGAAACTTTTTTAATAAACTACTTATTTGAAACAAAGATTTTTAAATTTAAACTTATTTGACACAAAGATTTTTAAACTTGATTAAATTAAAAATTATTCAAAGTTAAAATCGTAACTTTAAATCAAGAATTTTCTTCTCCAATACACAAACAAGCATTAGTGCCGCCAAACCCGAAAGAACTCGTCAAGGCGATGAGAGGAGAAGACGATGAAGTCGGGTTCAGTTCTTGTGGTGAATTTGGTACGTAGTTCAAAGTAAATTCCTGCGGCGAGTCAAAACTGTGTAAGTTTAACGTCGGGGGAGCCATTTTCTGGAAAACAAAGAAGGAAATGTTTGTAGGTAAGTGTTTTGTAGAGTTCCTGTAAAACGAAGAGAAGACCGTTTGCAATGATGTGTGCGCAGTCTTGAAGGTTCGGTAATACGGCCATCCGTATCGCAAAAGTTGCTCATGTAAGTTACTGACTGCATCACTACTCCGCCCACACAACGACATTTTTGATACACGAAGTTGTGCAACAACAAGAAAACTTTGGCAATATGAACAACATTTACTCTTGATTTTATTACGAATCAGTCAGACATTCAATCGCGCCGCGCAGTGGTCCTTTCTCACACCAGGCGAACTGAGGACAGCCGGTTGTTTGGGTGTTACTCAAACACACTGAGAACGATGAATAGAATGTAGATAATTTGATAGTTAAATTAGAAAACCAGGAAGGAGAAATAAACTTCCATTCAAAATAAAGGATTCCTGTGGTTAGATGGCAGAACAATAAAATCCCTTTGCTCTCGGGAATTGAATTCTTTCTCATGTAAAACGATTGTATTGTTCCTGCCATCTAACATGGCTGCCGTCACGTGATGGTGCAAAACCTCTATAGGCTACCAAAAACAACAAAACCAAGAACGCAATAGACCCCTTGCAGCACGCTGGAATGCAGCTCAATCTGGGGGACAAAACAATAGCTTTCAATTCTCAGGAGATTGGAATTCTTTAGTTTTGTCCCCCAGAACGAACTCCTTTGACGTCACGTGCAAGGGGTCTATACTTACATGTTTTAAAGCCAGAACTGTGAATATAGCTTCTACTGCACCTGCTGCTCCTAACAGATGTCCTGTGGCTCCTGTTGGACATACCAAATACGTGTACGAAAAGATCAGCTGCTACGCACTGGAGATGATTTGTTTAGTTAATACATCACTCTTATAATGGCTGACAAGTATACGAAAACGAGGTTAACCCGTCAATAGTTCATAATAAAAGATATAAAATCACATGAAATGCATTTATTGAAGAAAAGTATAGAAATGGACCTTTTGTTTTGACCTAAATTCGCGCTATCCACCTTTATTTTGAATGAGCAGCCTTGCTGAGCCTTGCAAGATGACTGGGTGGCCATTATGAGAACGGTGAATGCGTGATTTACAACAGACCTAATTCGTCGTCATATGTAAGCCTACCTTTAGTAGACGAGACCTTGATATCATTATTATTGTGGTCTCCGAGAAGTCTTTGGATAGCTCTGTTTTCTATTGCATCACCTTTAGTTACAGAAATTTAAAAAATATAAGTGAGAGGCGTGTAGCCGGTACGTGTTATATGTATCTTTGCCACTCTGAACCCATTACAGTGCTTGCATGCCATTCTAAAAAGTCTACGAATGGACTAATTTAGCTTTCCATGTCATACCACGTGTCATTCCCTTAAGTAATCTTTCTTTCTATGATTCTTCTCAAGCGTTAGTGCTAAAACTATACGCTAAGGGATGACACGTCGCTTTATCTGGAGTAGCATACCAATTGGTGTCGAAGTAGCATGTGCGTTGATGTAGCTAATATCGCGTGGCTGTAGGCCGGCATCTCTCAAAGCTGCGCTCATGGCTAGATATGCTCCTTGACCATCTTCTCTTGGAGCAGTTATGTGGTAGGCATCGCCTAGTTGAGAATGAATGAATAAATGAGTGAATAAGTTAAACAATGAAGAGACTTTGATCCTAGTGATTTCACCTGAAGGTGAGCTCGTACCAACCTGACATGCCGTATCCAAGTATTTCTGCATGTATCTCTGCACCACGCGAGATGGCATGAGTTCGTTCCTGTACAGAACAGAAAACAGTTAAAGGTAACTTACATTATCCTTAATGATATCAGTGGACTGCGTCGACTACCAGTCAAAAAACCAAGGAACAAAGAGAATTTCTATTCGAGATACAGAATATATTTGTACGCAATCATCTAAATCCAATGAACGTTGACAAGCCACAAAGTTAATTAGCCATCTTTAATACAACATCTTGTAATAGAAAAACGAACGATGATAGTGAACGACGTTTCTACATCATCGCGTGTCAACATCAAGATGAAGTCCAAGTGAAAGGTTAAATACGAAATTTGCACCACAATATTCTAAAATTGATATTTTTTCAATTTAATAGCCCGTCAATTGAAGTTCTATTATTGAAAACAATCCATATGATGGACAATCACTATACCATTTTTCTTGTTAGTTTACATGGTGTTGGTCCCTCCCCCTCCCCCCTAAGCTAATGCATATGCCATTCCCTTACCTCTAAGACGAGGATACCAGCTCCTTCACCCATAACGAAACCTGATCTGTCTTTATCAAACGGACGAGATGCTTCAAGAGGATTGTCATTATACTTGGTCGTTAATGCTCGAGCCCTGTAGGAATCAAACAGTGTAGTTAACCGTTAAATATTGAACAAATAGCCTACTTTGATAATACTAGTCGAGACTGGAAGTCTCGAGAAGGAAAAAAAAATAAAAGTAAAGAAGGAAGGAAGTTGCCTGTGATGTTGTCTGTAAATCTATAATAAACAACTAAGTATTGAACGTACTTGCAAAAACCTGCCATACTAAGTGGTGAGATACAAGACTCTGCTCCACCGGCTACCATGACATCAGCATCTCCATGCATTATCATCCTGTATGCATCACCTATTGCATGTGCTCCTGCTGCACAGGCCGTTGCTGCTGCATGATTTGGACCCTGTCTTCGTACAAGGAAATGTTAAGGGTTTTCAGTTTTTCTACAATGAAATGACTAGAGCTATCACTACTCTCCAATATATGATGCTAGGCCATTGCACTTTACCCACCCTCCCCACCCCTAGAATTTGCAAGTCAAGTTTAATGTTGCCCATTTATACAACACTCGGGTGGAGAGGCATTGTGATAGTTTGCCTAAGTTTGCCCATGTGTGCCCACATAACAGCTTTATGCCTCTTGGAGGAAGAGGTTTTTTCGTTTTCCCACACTTTTACAAAGCCAGTTTGTTTCACAAGAGCTGGAAAACTCTGTGACTAACTGGAACACTTTACCTAAATGTATGTATGGGATTTGTTATAATTTTTATACCCTGAATACTCTGTGTTATCATGCAAGTTTAACTTTAACTTTAATTGTTTTCACACAGCATAATAAGAAAGGGTCAGTGAGGTAAATAAGTGTGACTGACCTAACAAAGCAGGTTACCCATAGTGAGGTAAGTAAGTGTGATTGACCTAACAAAGCAGGTTACCCATAGTGAGGTAAGTAAGTGTGACTGACCTAACAAAGCAGGTTACCCATAGTGAAGTAAGTAAGTGTGACTGACCTAACAAAGCAGGTTACCCATAGTGAGGTAAGTAAGTGTGATTGTTCTAACAAAGCAGGTTACCCATAGTGAGGTACATGTAAGTAAGTATGACTGACCTAACAAAGCAGGTTACCCATAGTGAGGTAAGTAAGTGTGATTGACCTAACAAAGCAGATTACCCATAGTGAGTTAAGTAAGTGTGATTGACCTAACAAAGCAGGTTACCCATAGTGAGGCAAGTGTGACTGACCTGTAACTCGAAATGCATGCTGACCACACCAGCAGGCATATTCACTAAAATACGAGGAACAAAGAATGGACTGACTTTACGATATCCCTATAAAACAGTAAAAAATGAATACTATATAACGAATATCAATTAAATAAACCATCATTGCAGGTTTGGTACAAGCGAAGCAAATGTTAGGGAAATTACATTTATTACTGAATGAAGGACCGGGGCTTCAGAGGGGAGGGCCATCAGTAAAGATTTGAACCGTTTTGTGATGGGTTAAACCTTTTCGTTTTGACAAAAGCTGTTTCCCTGTTGACTTGATAGGAGGGTCATGAATTTCTTGCTAAGCAAAAGAGGGAGCGCTACAACTATTTTCAAAAAGTTTACTAAACTCAGAGATAATTGCATTTGCAATGCACAACATTGAGTACAACTCAATATCTTAATTCATCTACTGATACCATATCGATTCTTGTTGTTATTATTATAATCATTATTATGGCTTTTTGAGTAAGTTGAAATGGGATTTCTGTGGTAAAAAAGGAACGTTAAAACTGTGATACTTCCAGGTGCCCCTATCTTTCCTTATCTTTTGTTTTACTATTGAGAGATCTATTCCTGTATAAAGAAGGATCCTTGACCTACATGTAGTAAGACACTAACCTCTTTCTTTAGTATTGCCCCTGTCACAGGAATATCCTTGATTCCTCCTATCCCTGACCCTATACAAACTCCCTGAATAAYGGACAAAAACATCCAATGTTACAATAGCAATATGGGGAATTGAGTTTCTCTCACTGACCTTTTCTAAAATAGTGAACATGGTGTATTGTGGTGCAGCTTCAATACAAACATCTCATGTTTGTACCCAAGATACACTACAATGCATCTGTTTATTTAACTCAGAAATCTCTGAAAAATCAGATTTGGGTGCTTTTCTCATGAGGGTATTGCATACATTTTCAGTAAGGTATTAAAAAAAGAATTCAATTTTAACAGAAAGATTGATGTTAGATAGGATATTACTGTAAATCATTTAAGACATTATGGTTTACTATTTCTGACTTACAGTTCTTTGTTTTTCTAATTCTGTAGTTGGTTTCCATTTAGAGTCCTTCAATGCTTCACTTGCTGCAATAACAGCAAAAAGACTCTCTTCTGAGGTACTTCTTTTATCCTATTAACATATAACTGTTTTATTTGTTTGATTGACTTCCACTGTCTATTCTCATAAATTATACATGAAATGGTAAAGACTCACAAGTATTTTCCCCTGTAAAAACACAAGTCAAAACAACAACATAGAACATAGAAAATGTTAAGGGAGGATGATGAGCTGCTTTAAATAGTGGGTTACTAAGAAACAAAGGCTATCTGAAATGCCAAAATAACCACAGGAAACCCAGCCATAGCATTATAAATTATCATACATCATTTTAACTGGGCTTGCTACCTGTATTATGCAGACATTTAATGATTTGTTTTTTTCCTCATGAATATTAATTTTATCATGGACCCTTCTTCTATTTGCAGCAGTCTCTCTGGGTCTGAACCCTTACTTATGACTGGTCTTAAAAGGAATTTGTTGTAAATCATGTTGTAGCATATGTCAATAAATGTACTTACTACAACTTTGAGCCATTCATCAATATCTAATTGACCACTGTGAGCCCCTTTAGGTACAAAGCCGGCTGAGAAAAAATTAAACTACTGAATATATATATGTCATTTACCGGCCAGAAGGTTCGGATAGGGAAAAACTGTGCCCGAGGTCTTGAATATATGGCTGGAGGCCGTTAGGCTGAGCTCTGTTTTCAAGACCAGAACGACTATAAGACGATAAATAACTTATTAATTTTTTTCTTGTATTTTTTTACTTGTTTTTGTTTTGTTGTTTAGCGGCCAAGGATACCGGACAGTGACCGTGGGCAGATACTGACAAAATACCTCCCACTCAAACAGCCAATCAGAATGCACGATGTTTTAGGATACCGGACAGGAAAAAAAATCATTAACATTTCGTTTTTTTTATATTTCTTTGCATGCATGGAAACTTTTCAAATGAGTACTTCCTTTTAAAATACCTACATGTGATTGAAAAGTTGTGCTTCCTTAGTACAAATACTGCCTTTTTGTATTGTAAATATGAATGTATTCACAAGGGTACATTTAAGGTACAGTACCGCCTGAAATCATTGAGGCATAAGACGCGTCCGTCGCGCGTTCAGTGCACGCGGTAAAAACGCAAATAAGCCGCGTCCTGACCTAGAATTGACCGCGATTTAACCGCGGTTGCCGAAAAAACGCGTCCCATACAGTATCATACTGTACAAAGCG